GACACGGGTTCTGCAAACCTATGGGTACCCTCCGTCAAATGCAGATCAATCGCCTGCCTTAGACATGAAAAATATGATTCTACCAAGTCGTTCACATTTTTACCAAACGGAACATCTTTTGCCATTAGATATGGAAGTGGTTCGGTCGAAGGGATCATATCAAAAGATACCCTTCGTATCGGAGATATTGAAATTGAGAATCAAGAATTTGGCGAAACATTAAAAGAACCTGGGCTTGTATTTGCCTTTGGTAAATTCGATGGGATCTTTGGTTTGGCATTTTCTGAGGTCTCCGTTAACGGTGTCGTTCCTCCATTGTACAATATGATTCAAAAAAATCTCATTTCGCATGGAATCTTTTCCGTTTGGCTATCTAGTAAAAAGAAATCTTCTCCAGAAGGTGGAGAAATCTTGTTTGGAGGGATTGACGATTCTAGATATACTGGGCCTATCACTTGGTGCCCCATTACCAGAAAGGGATATTGGCAAATTAAACTCGAAAGCGCAAGCTTAAAAATGACTGACAAGCCAATTCCAGAAACGGTGTGGATATCATCATCAATAACAAATGTAACTGCAACCGCAATCGATACTGGAACCTCTTTAATTGCAATTCCAACCGCGGACGCAGAGGCTATACATTCCATCCTTGGGGCTAAAAAGACTTTTGGTGGTGCCTGGACTATTCCCTGTTCTTCGCTCTCTTCTCTTCCAGATTTTGTGCTCAAATTTGGAGGGGCTGAATTTGCCCTTAAACCAGAGCAATATGTAATCCAAACGGCTCGAATTTGCATTTCAGGCTTTATGGGTATCGATATACCTCCACCAGCAGGTCCAATTTGGATTGTTGGCGATATTTTCCTGCGCGAGTATTACTCTATCTACGACTTTGATAATTTGCGTGTCGGATTAGCAAAGTCCACATAATTGCTACTGATGCAAGTTTGCTGAATTGAATAAATTTCCCAATGGCTGCCTTAACAATTCAAGTGTGTAAACACACTAGCGTATTTAATTTAATTGCGAATTAAATTTAAATGCACAATCGGGGCTTCCCTTTGGATCCGTATCCGATCCAGCATGAGTTTATGGAGTCGTTTGTCAAGTGTGTTACTGAGAAAAAAATAGGCATTTTTGAAAGTCCAACAGGGACGGTATCGTTTCCGCTCATAATATTGATAGGGGAAAACATTGAGCATTATTTGTGCTTCAATTTATTGGCTATTCAATAGCCCAAATGGATCTGATTTGCATAGTAATTTGGAGCCTTCGTTCGTTTCTCGCTTTAAAAAGAAAAAGATAGAGCAATGTGAAGTTTCCAAGGCTTCCGATTTTAATGGGGGGGATCTGAAGCCGTCTTTCCATATTCCTGATGATATCTCTTTGCTACTTTCACAGTATTTAATTGCTTGTCATTCTTTTAGGATTGAGGGCAAAAAGGGGGTTGCCGGTGCAAATGGAAATTCTTCAGCATTGCCACCTAAAAGGGTCAACTTTTATTAACTTTATTGTCAGATTATATATTGCTCTAGAACACACTCTCAATTAAATACTGAAAAAGTAGCA